CTTTCGGTGATCACTAGCAGCAATTCTGCCTTCTAGGTCTGAAAGTCTGTTTTCAGTTTTAATCAAGCAGTTTTGCCAGTTTTCAATGGAATTTTTAATTTCCTGGATATCTGTTTGAATTTGTTTCATACATTTTCCTGTCTGGTTCATTCAAGGTTTAGATAATTTTTCTATGCTCCTCTAATTTTATTTTATCTATGCCTACTCTAGATTTGCTGAGCAATTCTCTCATTTTGGTTGTCATTATTTTTTTTTTACCTGAGAGATTATTTCTGGTATGATTTTCTCTAAGGCTTCATGGTTTGTTCCTTCACTTCAGTTACTGTCATTTTAGAAATTTTAGGTGAGTGTCTTCAGTTTTCCTCTATCTCGATGTCTCCCAGACTTGATGGGAGGGCTGGAGGGCTGGAGGGCTGAGATTGCATTTTGCTTCTGTGTCTTGTTTTTTTTTTATTTAAAAAAAAATTTTTGTTCTCTTTTCCATGTTGATCCTGGAAGGTTTTTTAGTAGGTAGCTGTATTACTAGTAACAAGGCCTTTCTAGGAAAAGTCTGTTCTTTAGGCGTGTCTTCCATGTGTAGGAAGTTCTTGGTTTTTTCTACCTCCAGATTCTATCTTTCCAATTAATTACAAGTGGGATGTTGGTATCTGTTTGGCTTAGTTCCCAGTCTTTTGGTGTTGGGGTGTGATGAGGTTATTACTCCAGAGCTTCCCAGTATTGTTACGGAAAGGAGAATGACTGATTACAACAGATATGACATACTAGCTAAAATAGTATAATTGGGAATAATAATAGCATCAAGCACAGTTTAGAAACTGACAGACTGTGGTAACTATTAATTTTGTACCTTGAAACATGGGAACAAAGTCTACAGTTATATAACAGAATTGATTTTAAATAAGGAGTTTGTATGCAAAGTGTTTCCCCATGGTACAGAGTGTTTAACCTGTGGTGGGATAGTTTAAGAAAAACCGTGGATAAAACAATGATAATCAAAAAGGAAGCAGCAGCAAGGCTGGAGGACAAAGGATGGCCACATAGGCTTTGGGAAACTATAGAAGAGGGCAGAAAAGAAACAGTGAAGGAGTAAGCAAGGGGTTATCTGAACCTTGGTATCTGACTTTGGGGGAGAGATTAGTTTTCTGTGGGGTTCTCTCCAGTGATTTAGAAAAGAGAGAGTTAAAAAAAGGATAATGAAAAATGGAAGAAAAAAGGAAAAGAATAATAGGAACAAAGCTAAAGATAAAATTAAAACTTAAAAAAGAGAAAAGAACAGTTGTGGCCCCACTCTCCTGTTTCTATTGTGTGTGTCTGGTCCCCAGGCACCATGCTGGCACACCTAGCTTACCACCTACCTACTTGTATTGTTAGTGTTGCTTCCCACTCTCCCTCCTTGCTAGCCCTGCCTGTCCATTTTATGCACCCTAGGTGGGTCCTACTATGTGGCCATTGTATCCCCTGCTACATAGTGCCAACAGTGTAGGGAGAGGAACCAGTCCCTCCTGCTGGATTCTTCCTGCTGGATCAGCTGCTGGGTCCCACAGTGCAGTGAAGGGAACTGGTAACCTACATTCTTCCCTGCCCTGTTACCTGGTCTTGTGACATAAGGGAGAGGGACCAGTTACCTGGATCTTCCACGACTGGTTTTCAGGGCCCCCGAATGTGAGGAGGGGAGCTCAATATTAAATCTTTAGCTTGGTTACTCTTAGTAGATTTTGGCTTTTTATATGAATAAAGTGAAAATTTAAAAACTTGTTTTTATGTACATTGCTGCTGCTGTGTGAGAAGGTATATAGCCAGAAATCCCAAATTTATAAATTTTCATAGTTTCACTGTAGATTTTTCAAGTACTTAGGTACAGTTATATCTTTTGTATTTAATGATAGCTTTCTCATACTTCTCTCTCCCCTATCCCTTTCCCTTCTTTTTAAAATTTATTTTAAAGAAAGTAAAATTAAACAGAACAAGACAGATCATAAGGAAACAATTTTAAGAAACACAGATTTCAAAGCAAGACAACTGGAGATCTTCACTGTCTATCGTATTGTCTCTTGTTTTCTTCCATATAGTTGTCCACATCTTTATACACAGTGAATACATACTGAACAATATAGTACTAAACTAATCAGAACAGGAATTTGAAGGCTTTTTAGTTCTTCAAGATCAGACAATACGGAAGTCACCAATGGCTGCCATAATGTCTCTCGTTCTCTTCAAAATAGCTGTCCATACCTTAACGTATTTTGAAATTAAACATAAGAGACTAGACTAATATCACTCTTTTTTTTTTTTTTTTTGTCTTTTTCCTTTTTATCAGTACCAGGGATCGAACTCACGACTGCCTGCTTACAAGGCAGGCGCTTATGCCGCTGAGCTAAATCTCCAGCCCCGACTAATATCACTCTGAACAGTGAACAATAGTATTACTAGATTTTATATCATAACACTACAGAATTAGCACTGGGTATCTTAATGTCTCTTCTTCTTCAGAGTATCTGTACATTATATCATGCATTATATAATCTGTTCCTGTAAACTGTTTAGAAATTCTACACATGTATGAATCTCTACATGTATACCTATCCTCTTTGTATTACAAGGAAAAATAGATCAAAACAAGACAACAAAAAAAAAATCCTAGAAAAACATGAAATGAAAAATACATATAAAACCACATTAGGTGATCTATAGTGGTTACTATGCTGTCTCTTGTTATTTTCAATACAATTGTCTACATCATCAGGCATAATATAATTGAACATAGCATTACATAGTAATTTTAATAAAAAATATCGGAGACATTTTAGGACTTCAAAAGCAGTTAGTAATCAAACCGGAATGGGTATCTTATTGCATCTTGTCATCTTCAGAGTAGTTGCCTCTACTCTTAGACTTAATACTATCAAGCATACCAAATTCGAATAAAATCAGTCAAGACAAAACAGCTGTCTAACAAACCATATTCAAATAAAATCAGTCATAGTAGGACAATGTAAGTAATACAGGGCTTCAGTTTAAGCTAATAGGAAATTAAGGATAGTTACTGTGTAGGCCCTTTCCCTTCTTGCTCCCCCAACTCCCTCAACCTCCCCACTCATACTGACTGTTTGAAACCTACAATATAATGTTTGATAAAAATGTCAGTAGTGAAATAGGACCCATAGCTTTATGGGATAGGAGATGAGGGGATTTGGGGTCTCTGATCTCTGATCTGTTCCCCACTGAAGCGAGACATGGCCTTTTCTGATATCCTCTTTTGCTAATGATGTATGGAATACACTTTTCCTTTGTCATGAAGGGCCAGATATAGTGTAACAGCAGAAGTGCACTGTGAAGAGACCAACAATGACAATAGTTGATGATTTATCTCATTCACTAAGAGCAGATCTCCCCTCAAAGCATAAAAAAGAAGTCTCAGGACTAGTCATGCTCATGACCTAGTGGAAAGTACCTGCCAACCCAATTCCATCGCTGCCCTGAAAACTAGTCCCATTCTTAGCCAGGCTGACCCCTGTCTGGCAGTGTGCCTGTCCACTGTTCAAGTTGAAGCCCTTTTCCCATTTTTCTTCCTTCTCCATTAAGCTTTCACTTGCAAATTGTTTTACTGCTGTGATTTTAATTTCCATTATTACTAAAGCAAGTCCCTTGGTGTGTCCTGTATCAGTAGTAGATATTATTGTCTCTTTTCTAACCGTAGGGGAAAAACTAGTATATATTTTGTTATTAAATATATGTCCTGAGGATATTTATATTTCTTTATTTTCTAGATGACATTACTGAGTTTCTTTTCTACTTTCGCAACAGTTTTTTAAAATCACAGATGCATTTTTTTTTACCTCTTAAACTATTGAGAAAGAAAATCATGACTTTCTAAAAATTGGCTGATATAAGGAACTCCATTGATAGACTATCACATTAATTCCCCGCTGTATCCCTTTCAATTTCTTTGAAGAACTTAAGGAGTCTTGGTAACATAGCATTCTTAAGGTTTGTAGAATTTAGTACTGAATCCATGTGGTTCCGAGATTTTTTATTTGATAGATTATTTATTACTGTGTCAATTTTATTGCTTGTTATTAGATTGTTAACCATATATATGTCTTGTTTGATAGTTGGTGTGAATCTTGGAATGTGTCCATTTCTTCAAAACTTACCAATTTGTTGGAATACAATTTTTCAAAGTAGTTACTGTCTTCTGGATTTTGACAGTGTCTGTTGTCATTTCATCTTTTTCATTTCTAATTGCATAGATGTCTTTTCTTTTTCTCTTGGTAAGTCTGGCTAAGGGTTTATATGTTTAATTTATTCTTTCAAGGAAGCAACTATTCAGTTATTTTATTTTTTTGGTACTTTTTAAAAATTTCAAGTTCATTGATTTCCATTTTAATCTTTATAATTTCCTTCCTTAGTTTTGCTTTGCTGCTGGTTTGTGGTTGTTTATCAAGTGTTTTAAGATTTCTCATAAGATTATTTATTTGTGCTTGTTCTATTTTCCCAATGTGAGTGTTGATTACAATGGGATTTTCTTGTTAGAACTGCTTTCATAGTATCGTGAAAGTCTCAGTGAGTGACACTGCCATTGCATTAACTTCCATAAAATTTTTAATTTTCTTGCTTTATTTTGTAACCCATCAGTTGTTTAGAATTATGTTAATTTTCCAGGAGCACTGCCTTTTCCAAAATGTCTTCTGTTGTCATTTTCTATTTTCATTGCAGAGTAGTTGGATAGTATACATGGGTTTATTTTAATTCTTTTACATTTGTTTAGGCATGTTTTGTGGACTAGTATGTGACCTCTTTTTTAAAAACTACTATGTGCTGCTTAAAGAAAATATATTCTGTTGTAGAAGGGGTAAAGTACTCTCTGTAAATATCTATTAAATCCATGTGTTCAAGTATGTGATTTAGCTCTGATATTTCTTTATTGACAGTTTTGTTGACCTAACTTTTTGCAAAAGTGGGGTGTTAAAAATCCCTTAATAGTGTTATTTTATCTTTTAATTTCAGCAGTTTGTTTCATAAAGGCAGGTGCTCCAGTATTCTCTGCATATACATTTATCAACTTTCCCTTTTTTTGTTGGATGGTCCCCCTATCTGGTATGTAGTGACTTTCTTTGCCTCTTCTAACTAGTTTTAGCTTGAAGTTTACCATATCTAATATTAGAATAGCTACCTTTGATTGTTTTTGGAGTCCTGCATGAAATAATGTTTTCTATCCTTTAATTTAGCCTACGAATATCTGCCGCAGCCAGCGCCGGGAAGGAGTCAGGCGAGAAACTGAAGACACAGGGAGACCAGTTGCTCACGAGGCAAAAGATGATTTATTGAAGAACTCCAGAATTTTTTTAATGTTTCAAAACAAAGAGTAGTACAAGTCACTTTAGGACACTTTCTTGTGCATACAGCAAAGGTAAACATGTTCTTGGGCCCGTGAGAAACTTCTATGTTGTGCAGCCCAGGAGGTAAATATGTTCTTGGGCCCATGAGAAACTTCTATTATTTATGTTATGAAGCTATTCCCAGGTTAATATCAGCGCGATGCTTTGTCTAGAAGGCTGAGGTTACTGCAGGATGAGGAACTGGGTGAGGTCCAGCTTTAGTGTGTGGTTTTCCACACCCGTTCACTGCCGGACCCCTGGCTTCCGCTCCCAACATATCCCCCTTATTTCTTAGACAAAGCGTTGCATGGGAATTTTATTAGCAGTTGATTCTAACTTAAAATGTTTCAAGTCCAAACGCACATTTCTCATTTGCCCAACAACAATTCTCACAAAATATGGAAAAATTGTTATCATGACAATAAATGCTAGAGCTCCAATACCAGCTAGAACGATAAAATGTGAAATGTCCGTGAGGCTTGGGAAATGTCTGGTTAATGCGTTGAATATTTGCTCAGTTTTTTTTTGCTATGTCAACTTTTATTGCTGGTGTATTGGTTATATCTTGGATAGTTTTATGCAGCTTAAGCAAATCTAGAGAGGTATTGGAATTATGTAATATTCCTAGCAAATGATTTTTCACCCTATCCCAAGGTACATCACTTTCATTATATCTATGTGAAGTAACACAAATATGTTTGTATAAGGCACGACATTTTAAAGAAGATTGTACTTGCAAAGCATATAATTGGTCTCCTAAGGTTATTACTGTATCTTGTAGAGCATTTAATTTTTGTTTAATCAGACTATCCCAATTTTTCTGTATTTTCAAAACCAAAGAAACATTATGGGATAACTCATTAACATAGGATGTAGTTTGCACACTTTCTGTAAGAGATATTGTGGACATTGCAAAGGAGGCTATCAAAGTAATAAGTGCAGCAATTCCAGTCATTAACATCCCAACAAATCGTTTGGCCCGATTTAAAAGGTTAGTTAATTTTTGTAAAATAACCACAGAAGGATCTTGATACCACTCTGTGGTGATATTAACAGGTAAAAATACAAATGGAGGTTGTTTGACCAGTAATATGGATGAGTGGTTTCGTGAAGCATTAACGCAATTGGATAAGATGCAATCTTTACAAGTAATTTCATAAGATTTATTGTTCTTATTTACAGTAAGTTCTCCACTTATAACACCATATGGTTTAGAAACACAAGCTATGATAGTTACATTTTTTACTGTGCCATTAACAGAAATAGCATCCTGTGTCCCTATATGTTGTCATACAACTTTTTTCTTTGTAACAGCAATATAATCAAGTGCTGCAACCAACTTTCACAGCATGGTAAAAAAGGTGATGTTATTCTTTGTCCATATTCCATATAATAAATTTTGGGGCCTGTAGGTTGTTTCTCTATAATCACTCCAATCATATAGATCTTTGTAACATATAGTATAATTATGATGGCACAAACGCCATGAGGGTCCATATACACTTTTGCTTGGGTATTTTTGTCTACATTCTGGAATATGTTCAGGGAGATTACCTTTTCCCACTCTAGTTTCACTACTGTTGCAAAATACATACATCATATCTACTCCCCAGTGCATTCCATTAGTAAAGTTTCCATCCCAATCAGAGTATCTTTCTATTAATGTACAATTCTTATTTGTTTTAGAACAACATAGGGGTAATGAAGGAGACGTTCCAGTGTAATTATATACAATAGAGATAGATTGTATATGAGTGGAAGAAGGAAAACTTAAGACACGAGTATTATTTACATAAACAGTAACATCATCGTTGTCACCCATGACATAGGGTGCAACAAAGGAGGATTAGGTACAAATGCCCAATAATTATCTGCCCACACAGGCATATAAAATGTATGCAAAACCCAAATAGTGCTTAACAGTTGATCCAAAAACAGAAGAGTTTCATCTCTTGTCGCAGGAGGCCTTCTGGTCATTGTTCTCGTCCTTGAGGTCATGGTTAGTGGAAGCATCGTCTTGCGCAATTTTTTTATCTTGCTCTTGGGCATGTCGTACACAGAGTTCTGGGATCCACCTGGGTGTATCAGCGTCTGTGGGAAAAACACAAACATACCCTCTTCCCCATATCAATACTGGGTCAGGGCCATGTAATAGATTAGTTAATGGGTCTTTCCAATAAACCATTGGCTTGGAGGGCAAATCAGGAGACCAATGTCTCTCAGCTGCAGATCTATTGGAAGCATCAAAAGTTAAAAAATTAAGAACGTAAAGAGCATGGTTAAGAAGGGTTTTGGGAGAATACTTATACCATCTCCCCCTTTTTAATTTCTTTAATGTGTTTTTTAGTGAGAGATTAGCACATTCAACAATTCCTTGTCCTTGAGGATTATAAGGCAGTCCAGTAACATGCTTAATATGGAAAGTCTGACAGAATTTGGCAAAGGGTTTACTAACATATGTTGGGCCATTATCAGTTTTAATGGATCGAGGAATGCCCAGGATAGAGAAACAATATAGTAGGTTTTGTATTACATGGGTGGCAGTTTCTCCAGCCATAGGTGAAACAAGCATGTAATGAGAAAAGGTGTCTATGGGAATGTGTAGGTATTTTAATGACCCAAAAAAAAGGATAATGAGTGACATCTATCTGCCAGATGTCATTTGGACGGAGTCCTCGAGGGTTGACTCCAAAATGCAGTACTGGAAGGAGAGGCGCACATGAGGGACAGTTTTTAACAATTTTTTGTGCCTGCTGCCGTGTTATACCATATTGATAACGTAAAACCTGTGTAGGTTGGTGATGAAGAGCATGTGACTGTTGTGCTTGCGAAACAGCAGACAGTCTAATATGCGTGGCTCGATCTGCAATTGTATTTTTATGAGTCAAAGCGCCTGGAAGATTAGAGTGACTGCGAATATGTCTTACAAAATAAGGTGCAGATCGAGAATGTAAAGATGATTGAATAAGACCAAATAACTGTGTAACAATGATATTAGCGGTGTTGATAACAGGTATGCATTTTAAAACAGACAAGGCTTGTACTACATATTGGCTGTCTGAAAACAAATTAAAGGGAGCATCAAAGAAAAGAATAAAAGCCTGATGAACAGCATAAAGTTTAGTCTCCTGAGCTGAAGTACTCCTCAATTATCATACATAAGTTTGATTTGGGGATACTAAAGTAGCTTTTTTATTGGAGCTTCCATCTGAAAATAAAGTAATAGCATTAACAAGGGGTTTCTTGCGTATGATTTGAGGAAATGAAAAGGTAACTTTAGAGGCAAATTGAAGAATTTTATCCTTGGGATAATGATGTTGGATTTGACTGGTATAGGACGCTAGAGAAAGGGGAAAATAATCAGTCATATTAAGCAACCATTTGAGTTGTTTAGATGTATAAGGGATTATAATAGAGTAAGGGTCTCTTTCTAAATGCATTATAGACAATTTTTTTTCTTGTATAATCCTTTTTTGCAACCAAAGAGGCATAAGTGGGGAGAGCCCTTTTCAGGGAATGTGAAGCATGAATCCATGAGAGAACTCCCTGCTGATATAACACACCTGTAGGGGAAAAAGACGTAGGTATGATGATAAGAGACCAGGGAGTGGAATAATCACAATAATGAAGCTGTGCACTTTGAAGAACCTTATTAACCAGTTTAAGAGCTTTGTGAGCTTCTGCCGTCATTTGGTGGGGTGAACTTGGGTCAGAATCTCCAGCTAATAAGGAAAACAATGGGTGGAGGTCTTGAGTAGTTAACTTTAGAGACGGCCGAATCCAATTAATTTTGCCTAAGAGTTTTTGAAAATCATGTAATGTACGCAAGTGAGAAGTATTAACAGACAATCGTTGAGGAGAAAAATACCGTGGATATAAGTGAAAACCTAGATAAGAAAAAGGAGGTGAAGTTTGGACCTTTTTAGGTGTGATGACCAGCCCATTATTTGTTAAATCCTGATGAAGAGAGGCATATACTTGTAAAAGCATCTCAGAATCTTGATGGGCTATTAAAATATCATCCATATAATGAATAATGGTGGCAGAGGCAAATTTAGATCTGGTATTGGCAATGGCTGCATGTACAAACTTTTGACACAAGGTGGGGCTCGAACCCACAACCCTGAGATTAAGAGTCTCGTGCTCTACCGACTGAGCTAGCCGGGCTGCTTGTAACAGGGTGGCTCAGAGAGTGGTGGTGGAGCAGAGGGCGGGGGGGGGGGGCGGGGTATAAGGAGGATATCACATTCTCTGAGGATTTGGTTTTTCTTATAAAACTTTTTTGAGTTTTTTTTTCCCATTTACTAGACTCAGAGTCCCCTTTTAAACAGTCCTTAATTAAAGGTTAAATCGGAAACACATCCAAAGGAACCTTCTCAGGACCCCAAGCACAATAATAATCTTTAATCTTTTTTCCTACTGTTTTCCAAGTCTTAACATTAACCGTTCCCTGTTCGGGAAACCAGGGGCAAACCTGATACACAAAATCAACAAACCGATGAATTTGAAGCTTAGCTACAGGAATGCCCCTACTCTTTAACAAAGAGGAAATAACTTGTTTAAAAAGTTCCCGTTCTGATGACAGGGAGTTACCCATTCTCAATCCCTGTGTATATGCCACTCCCTGTTACTTTTACTTTTTTACTTACCTGGGTCGTCTGTAGCAGTGGTCTTTTCGGAACTCCCGATTTTTCTTCTACTGGAAAAACGCTCCAAATGCTTATATTTCAAGCCCCATGTTGGGCGCCAGGAACCACAGCCAGCGCGGGAAAAGAGTCAGGTGAAAGACTAAAGACACAGAGAGACCAGTTGCTCAAGAGACAAAAGCCGATTTATTAAAAGACTCCAGAGTTTTTATAATGTTTCAAAACAAAAAACAGTACAAGTCACTTTAAGACACTTTCTTATACACACAGCAAAGATAAACATGTTCTTGGGCCCGTAAAAAACTTTTATGTTATACAGCCCAGGAGGTAAACATGTTCTTGGGCCCATAAAAAAACTTCTATTGTTTATGTTATAAAGCTATTCCCAGGTTAATATCAGCACGATGCTTTGTCTAAAAGGCTAAGGTTACTACAGGATAAAAAACTGGTTAAGGTCCAGCTTTAGTGTGTGGTTTTCCACACCCGTTCACTGCCAGACCCCTGGCTCCCGCTCCCAACAAATATCTTTTAGGATTAAATGAGTTTCTTATATGCAGTAAACTGCTGGTTTCTGTTTTTTGATCCAGTTTGTTAATTAGAGTGTTTTAATCAGAGAGTCAAGGCCATTAATATTAACAGATATTACTTGGATTGTCAATTACTTTTGCGCCTTCTTTATCTATTGGTGAATCCTTTTTTTTTTTTTCCTGACATTTTTTGTTGTCATTTATTCATTGACCTTTCTTGGAATTTCCATTTCCTCTGTTTTTACTGTGTCAGTGATTTTGTTATTTCTGTAAAAAAAATCATTAAATATTTTCTCAAATACTAGCATAGCATTTATATATGTTGTAAGGTTTTTTTTTGTGTGTGTGTGTGTGGAAACACCTTATGAGTTTATATTTTTTTTAACTGAGTCAAGGTCTTGCTATGCAGCTCCAGCTGGCCTTGAACTCACTATGTCGTCCACATTGGACTTTCACCTATGGCAATTCTCCTGCCTCAGCCTCTGAAGTGCTGAGATTCTGTAATCTCATCTGTATGTGCACCATAATCCCTGGCTTGTCCATCTATTTTGAAGGGCAGTTTTAATTTGTATTTAAAGTTATTTGCTTTTAGGTTTTGAAATACTTTGATCTGAGTCCTTCAGACTTGTAAAGTTTGCATTGAGAAGTCTGCTATGAGCCTAATTAGTTTACCCTTACATATGATTGGTTTGTTTTCTTCTTACTGTTTTTAACATTTAGGTTTTTTTCTGGGATATGGTAATTTAATAAACATACGCTTTGGTGAATTTCATTTGTTGTATTTGTTTAGTGTTATATATGTATTGCTTACTTGTATTTTAAACTGTTATGTTTGGATAATTTTCTTCTATAATTTCTATAAACATGCTAATAAATGCATTATCTTCAAGTATTTATCTTCAAGTAGTCTCAGATTAGCTTTCTTATTGTCATCTTGTAGCTGCTGTATAATTTTATCTTTTTCTCTTATTTTTGTTATAGCACCTTTGAATAATTTATCATATTCCACTTCTTTTGCCTCAATTTCATATACTCTGTCTTATACTGGTAATTTCTGTACTTTATAAACTATACAGTTTTCTATTTCATGCATTTCTGTCTGATATCTTCTTTCAAATTTTTAAAGAATAAAACAATACAGAAAATGCATATAAATAATACATAATTTTGAAAAAAATAAACAGTAAGAAAGCACTAGTTGATAAATTACATATTGCCCTCTTAACAATAGTTGTTCA